AACTACAGAAAATTACAACGCAATTGTATGCCTTCAACAACAGAAAATTAGAGCGCATTTTTATGCCTTCAACTACAGAAAATCAGAACGCACTTGTATGACATCATCTGCAGAAAATTTGAACGCAATTGCATGACTTCAACTACAGAAAATTAGAACGCAATGTATGCTTTCAACTACAGAAAATTAGAACGCAATTGTATGCCTTCAACAACAGAAAATTAGAGCGCATTTTTATGCCTTCAACTACAGAAAATCAGAACGCACTTGTATGACATCATCTGCAGAAAATTTGAACGCAATTGTATGACTTCAACTACAGAAAATTAGAACGCAATGTATGCTTTCAACTACAGAAAATTAGAACTCAATTGTATGCCTTCAACTACAGAAAATTAGAACGCATTTGTATGCCTTCAACTACAGAAAATTTGAACCCAGTTGTATGCCTTCTACTACAGAAAATTAGAACGCAATTCTATGCCTTCAACTACTGAAAATTAGAACGCAGTTGTATGCCTTCAACTACAGACAATTAGAACGTAATTGTATGCCTTCAACTACAGAAAATTAGAACGCAATTGTATGCTTTCAACTACAGACAATTAGAACGTAATTGTATGCCTTCAACTACCGAAAATTTGAACGCAATTGTATGCCTTCAACTACAGAAAATTAAAACGCAATTGTATGCCTTCAACTACAGAAAATTAGAACGCATTCGTATGCTTTCAACTACAGAATATTAGAACGCATTTGCATGCCTTCAACTACAGAAAATTACAACGCAATTGTATGACTTCAACAACAGAAAATTAGAGCGCATTTGTATGCCTTCAACTACAGAAAATTAGAACACAATTGTATGCCTTCATCTGCAGAAAATTTGAACGCAATTGTATTACTTAAACTACAGAAAATTAGAACGCAATTTATGCTTTCAACTACAGAATATTAGAACTCAATTGTATGCCTTCAACTACAGAAAATTCGAACGCATTTGTATGCCTTCGGCTAAATATATTTTGAACGCAATTGTACGCCTCCAATTCAATATATTTTGAACTCAATTGCATATGTTTTTCTTAATATATGCTGAAAGCAATTGTATGCTTTTAATTAAATATATTTTGAACGCCATGGTACGCCTTCAACTGCAGATAAAAGTTTACCATAAATATGTATTGTTGGTCATATATTTATATAAAAATGCATTACTACTATTTTTAATATAAAAATGTATTACTGATATTTTTATTGTAAAAATATATTACTATATTTTCTGAGTATTTTGATTTTTGTTTCAGTGTTCACTATTTGCCTATAGCTGGGACCCTTTTAGGTGCTACCACCCCAGGTCTAGCTGGATCGAGAAACAATAGCAATTAAGTTTTCATTCCAATCTCCTCAAAGTCACCACTCTCTAGATCAGAGCCCCCCCCCCATTGCCGGATATAGTTTATCGTCATACCAATTACCACGATCACAAGCCGTGGAGTTATTTGAAAATTCAAATCCAATCGAGAGCTCAAACAAACATCACGGATCTGAAGACCATATGTGACGAAGAATGGAACAAAATACCAACAAAAATTTGCAAATCATTAATTGGGAACTCCAAGAAGAGGTTGGTTGTTGTTTGTTGTAAAAGTTAATAATGGCTATTCTACCAAGTATTAAATGAAGAATATAATTCTTTGTTGTATTGTACGAAGACTTTTTCACGCATTAAAACGAATAAATGGGATTTATTTCTATAAAATCATTTTTTTGTGTTTTCTATGCATATTTAGTTATTATGCATCTGTCTACAGTTAATTATATGAAAAGCATGTTTATTCATTAGTTGGAAATACAATAAATTAAAAAGTTGTATGTGTACGAATATTTGTTTCCGTCCATTGTGTATGTCTATATACACACACGCACACACACATATTTAATGTGTGTGATAAAAGTATAATTTCAAGTTATTCTATAATTATAGGTAAAACTGCTCAGTATCAATGATAGAGCGTCTGTATATATGAGTAGACAACACAATAAATCGGAAACTATCTGTTCTTGCTCCCCATAACGCCCCATTGACCAGCATATATAAACCGCTCAACACACATGGCCTAAAGATTGCGTTCACACATGAAACAATTGTAGCCATTTGGTGTTAACATTATATATATATATATATATATATATATATATATGTGTGTGTGTGTATGTGCGCGTGTGTGTGTAGGTGTGTATGTGAGTGCGGTAGAGTTGTTTGTGTCCTTAGGTTTCACGCTTTTGCGATATATATATATATATATATATATATATATATATATATATATATATACATGAGATATAGACGTACGGAGAGAGAAAGAGAAAAGGACATTGAGATTAGTCTAAACAAAAAATCACGGCGTACTGTATGATGACCAGGCCATGAAAAATATGAACCTTCGTTTCTTTCATGTCTGAAACAGTGGGAAATAAAACCTAAAAGAAAAAGGAAATAATCGATAAAAGTATTAAAAATAATTCAGGAAAGAAAATAAAGAAATGAAAATAGAAAAAAAAAAATCTTCTGTCTGCACATTTGGATCTCCAGCTGATAAATGGTTTTATTTCATTTTTTCATACAACTTTCTTCAAGTTACAAGAGAGGGACATAGATATATTTATCCGAAAGCATATATATATATATATATATATATATATATGAATCTACATGAATCCAAAATTTAAAAAAAAATTAATCAGTTTGTCTGACGATCGCAAGAGCGTGAAACCCAGGGTTACAAACTCACATCAATCCAACCAGATATGTTAGCTCTATCTCTGATATTGAGCGCTTTCTAATAAGTACCGCGCATATAATATATAAATAATTATATATATATATATATATATATATATATATATATATATATATATATATATATATATATATATATAATTATTTATTTAAAATAAATAATTAAATAAATAATAAATAATTATATTTATGCTCTACTTTTGTATCGAGGACTATTTTTAAAAAAATAACAAAAATACTAAAGAACTTTGGATTATTTACCTAACGAGTTCTTTCCTATTTTCTATATATTTTTCACACACACACACACATATATATGTATATATATATATTTATATACACACACTTTTCGCGCACGCACACACACACACACACACATATATATATATATTATTTTCAGATAGAGTGTATCTGTAATAGAAGAAAAATGAATAAAAAGGCACGAAGAAAAATTATTCTTCTCATCTTTCTCCTGAAAGAACGACCACTTTTCCAAGCCAAGATGCACGACCACAGACATGTAAAAACAGTCAAAAGAAAACAGTTAAAATCCATTACCTTATGTTTATGAAGACTTACAGCACATACATGACCCAAAAGCATTAAATTCTGATCACAATTTAAATATTCATTGATAAAATAAACAAATAAATTTCTTGAATATTATTCGATTACTTGTTTTACCAGATTTAGAATTATGACACTTTGTTTCCTCCACATGTTTTGTCTGACCTTTCAACCACCTGATGAATACTCATAAACGCAGTTAAATTTGAAAGCCTTGATAAATCAATGGTATGCTTACTCTTGTATGTAAACACGTGTAAAATAAAAATATATATATATATATATATATATATATATATATATATATATATATATATATATATATATATATATATATTTGGCAGATACCACTGTTTCGCTGTATTACAGCTACTTACTGCGACTAGACAACCAAATGCCTTAAACCCGGATTGAATCCCAACCGATTTGGTGTTAGTCAGAATTTCTACCATTCTTCATTCGGCAGAGTAAAACCGCTAAATCTAGCGTATTGTTTTTACAAATGTAAACAAATGCCAATCAGCCGGAGTGCTCTATTCCTTTTACTGAAGAGCTTTGCATTAGCGCAGGTGGCTGTTGTTTATAGAATTAGTCTATCACTCAACAGTGTTCAACTGAAAATATATTTTCAAGGGCTAAATTATGTCATTCTCAGACAGTACTGTTTCGCTGTATCACAGCTTCTCAGTGTGACTAGGCATCTGAATGTCTCAAGCCAGGATCGAAACTCAGCCGATTTGGTACATATATATATATATATATATATATATATATTATTTTATATGCGCAGTACTTAACGGAAAGTGCTCAATATCAGTGATAGAGTTAACATATTCAGTGTGTAACCCTGGGTTTCACGCCTTTGCGATCATCAGACAAACTGATTTATGTTTTAAAAATTGAATTAAAATTGTTACTGTCGTTACTGTTTCGCTGTAACCCAGCTCCTCAGGGCGACTAGACACCCGAATGCCTCAAGGCAGGATCGAAACCCAACCGATTTGGTGTCAGAGTTTCTACCACTGAGCTATCTTCATTCGACAGAGAGAAACAGCTAAATCTATCGTATTGTTTTTTTCGAATGTATATTATGTGTGTTTTTAAGGTTTGCTCCGAAACTGACGCCTCCTATTTTCTAATGTTGACCTATAACGTCATAGATAGGTGATTTCTGGTATGGCAGTAGAGTTTGAAAATTCTTGTCTATAACCGATTGTTACGGTATAAAGTAAAATTTCAGAGCATTTCTTGGTTTGTATATTCTTTCTTTTTATGTGCCATGTCCTTTCAGGATGTAGGCGATCATGGATCTCCACCTCCTTCTATCCCTAGCAGCTCTCCACAAGTTCCTTCCCTCTGCTTCCTCCTCCAGACCATGTTCTGTCATCCACGTGCTTAAGTCCACCAGGTATAGCATGCGTTGTTTTCCCTTGTCTCTCGTTCTCTCTATTCGAACCTTGAGTATAAAATCTCCAAATTCCTGTCTATAAAAATTGAATTGATTGTTACAGTAGAAAGTAAAATGGCATCTGACATGAAGAGACATTTCCCTCGATGGTATTCATCGACGCTTACTGAACATTTATGGAAACCAAATAGTGAACGTTGTGAGTAATGTGAGGAGAGAAACAAAGAGAAATGTGAATTATGAACGGGAGAAGAAAGAGAAAATGTAAATATGCTTGGGATGAGGAGAGAGAGAGAGAGAGAGAGAGAGAGAGAGAGTGATTGAGGGCTAAAAAGAATTAGAGAAAATATGTGAATATCTATATTGTAAGAGTGGGAGTGACAGACAAAATGAGAGGGGAAAAGCGAATAATAGAAAGAAAGAAATTATGTTAAATGGAAAGAGAAGAGCAAGAAGAGGACGAAAAAAAGAGAAATAGAAAAGAAAAAGGAAGGGAAAATGAGATTCTGTTTTGGGTGAGGAGGAGAGAAAAATAAAAGGAGAAAGAGAAGAGAGAAAAGAAATGTCGAAAGAGAAGAGAGAAAAAGAAAAGGAGAAAGATAGAAGAGAAATGAAATGCCGAAAGAGAATATAGAAAAAATGTCGAAACAGAAAAAGAAAAGAGAAGAGAGAAAAAGAAAAGCAGAAAAGGAAGAGAGAAAAAGAAATGTCGAAAGAGAAAAAAGAAATGCAGAAAGAGAGAAGAGAAAAATGTCGAAAGAGAAGAGAGAAAAAGAAAAGCAGAAAGAGAAGAAATGCATAAAGATAAGCAGAAAGAGAAGAGAGAAAAAGAAATGTCGAAAGAGAAAAAAGAAATGCAGAAAGAGAGAAGAGAAAAAAATGTCGAAAGAGAAGAGAGAAAAAGAAAAGCAGAAAGAGAGAGAGAGAGAATGAGAGAGAGAGAGAGAATGAGAGAGAGAGAATGAGAGAGAGAGAGAGAATGAGAGAGAGATGACGAAAGGGAGAAATAAAAAGAAATGCCGAAAGAAAGGAGAGAAAGAGCGGAGAGAAAATATGTGTTGCGAGTACAAATGAGAAAAATCTGACTATATAAGGGTGATGGAGAGAAAGAAAGTCATAATAAAAGAGAATGAGAGGTAGAGAGAAAACACAACAGCATGGGAGAATATGTGAATGAATCGGATTCAGCGTTGTATGAATAATGATCAATACTGACATACCAAATCATGATCATGTAGGAATCCAGTTTAACTCTCATCGACAAAATGACTCAATTGCCCTGCGTGTAGCTGATATTTTTTCGATCATTGTCTTTTCAATCGTTCCCGTTTGGGTTAAGCGTTCGCCCCGAGTGATGACTACTTCTCTCTCTCTCTCTTTATCTTCTCCTTAAATGTTTAGAGAAGCAAATTCCGTGCTTGTAATTCATCATGACACTGCTGCACGTAAGGACTTCCCAGGTTGCCATTTGATCTTCACGGAATAGGGGTCAGGGCACAATACTAAAATACTAACACATATATATATATATATATATATATATATATATATATATATATATATATATATATATATATATATATATGCACATTTCATTGAACACGTCAGACAAGGTGTTTTTATTTAGTTTTTTATACAATTTCTCATGCGATCTAATAATTTTTCTTTTCGGATGATAAGTTATATAAAAAACTGTCCGAATGTTCTTTTTTCCGAGCGCTTTCGGCTATACATTTAGCCATTTTCAAGGATTAAATATTTAACTGTTAAATAAGAAATAGTTTGCTACATGTATGTTTTATAAAATGTTTTCATTTTTTCAAAACACGGTCAATATATAGTGTCCATGTTCAAAGTTAATGTTATTAAGTGTTGTTATTTTTTTTGTTTTTATTAATAAGGCTTCCATTATTTTTAGCCTTTTTTTGCATGTAGATGATGCTATTATATTTGTGTTGTCAACAAACATGTTACGAATAGTATCCGGTAGGTCTCCATAAATATTTAAATGAGATCTAATTGAGCTATGGTCAGAAAGGTGTAGAGTGAGTCTGCGTGTCAAACATGTTGTAGTGTGGCCTATATAATTATTTACGAATTTTGATTGATCAGGAATACAATTCCTTAATGGGCATTTAAAAATAAAATAAAATAAATAAACAACACTTAATAACAGAACAGCTATCGACGGCCCCAAAGGGTCTCGTCAACCCAATTTCACTCACAAGTCTTGGGTCAACCCGTGGTATGGTTTTCAGGCACTTTCCAAAGGTGCCGCACGCTGGGATATATATATATATATATATATATATATATATATAATTATTTATTTAAAAATATGATTCCAATTCGCGACATATGACGTCTCATGTTTCAAAACAAGAGCCGAAAACTTTAATATAATTATTTGAATAAAATTGAGTTAAAGTAAGCTCTGTTCCATCTTCAAGCGAAATTTGTTTTGGAAACTATATATATATATATAATGCCAACAAGTTTTTTTAGAATATATTCATACGAACAGAATATGTATTTGTTGAAACTTGAATAAAGCATGGAATAATAATAATACAACACAAAATGTATTTAAACAAAATGTATTGAAACAAGGAAAAGGTACACAATATTTACAGTTAGTTTGGTATATTCTTGGGAAGACCGTTCCTGTAGAATGGGTTGACTTTAGTCGCAGTCGGGCAGAGTCTCTGGATTGGATCTCTTCTTCCTCCCCCCGTCTTCCCGGTACCAACCCATATTTATATGGTCGGTACTCCACTATGTAAATTAGGTGGATCGTACCACAACAGTATTTTTTGTAAAAATCTGTTTGTAGATCAGGTTTCATAACGCATTTTGTAAAGAGATTTTTTTTATCGAGAGTCAAATGTATTGCTGGTAATATATATATATATATATATATATATATATATATATATATATACACGCACACACACACTTCAAAGAATTGTTTTAGTGGATACTCGTATTTGAAACAGACGACTCATTTTTATTTTTTTTTACTTTAAACATTGTGTATTACATCTTTCGTTCTGCGTATTCGAGAAAACTTAAAGGGAAAACGGAGACTTCTTCAAATGTGACACTCTTCGTAGTCGAACGATAAGGAATGCCTTTAGAAATGGTGGTTTCTCCTACAAAGGTGGACGCCGGTTTGCCCCCTGTCGGGGAGCACATTTTCTTTATTAAGATTTCTTGAATACGCAGGTAGGTAGGATCATGTGTAAGTACGTGTTCTGTCTCGAAGTTTCATACATTAAAAAACACCACCGCCGCCGCCACCACCATCACCACAGAATCACCATCACCACCACCACATGAAATCCGAAAATAGTTCCAACAAGCGCAGTCCAAAGAAGAGCTTTGTTCATTTAGTTTTTGTTTAAGTGGGAAAAAAATGACATCCTTCACTTTGCCCGAGGACATTCTTTATGACCCTCGGCATGTAATTATAAAAGCAAATATAGGTCAAAAATAATTTTCATAATAATAATAAATAATAATAATAAAAATTAATAAAAAACACGTGAAGAGTATGAGAATCTTTTTTACAATAATGTTCACAAGGCCGAAGAGTCACTCGAGGTTACAGACTAAAAGGTACAGTTTGTGGGGCTATCAAGCGAAAGTTAACAGTCGAACAGGTTAAGATTCTAGCGATCGGGAAGCATCCTCTTGGGAGTCGGTTCCACAAAGCAGCGGTTCGTGGGAAGAAGCTGCTCGAGTGAGACTTACATCTCAACAATAGAATACGAAGGGAATGAGGGTGGTTCTCTACAATGGGCGTGGCATGGCGGGTCTTAACCGTGAAGGTTAGAAATGGTGGATCTAAGGAAGGTAATTCGTCTGAACACTTTCCGTGGAAAGAGCGATAGAGAAGTGAGAGTCAGACACAACACGGTGGCTTACAATAGTGCCTTGAGGAGGTAGTGTTGCCCTGGGTCAAGAGGGTAGCTGCTGGAAGACTCTATGCATGGCAACAGAATTCTGCTCCATGCAACACAAGCAGGAGAAACCAGTTACGTCTGTCAGACAATTTCTGCAACCACATCACCCTTTACATCTGGCCACCACAAATGTGTCGGGTGCAGTTGAGCGAGAGACCAAAAAAACTCCTTGTAACACCAAAGATGAACTGAAGGCAAGGATTATGGCAGCATTCACCAATTTAAATAAGGAGACAGTCCAGAAGAGTTGCAGGAGATTCCGAAGTCGTCTGGAGGCCGTGGTTTAAAGCCAATGGCGATTTTATTGAACAAATTTACTCTTTATTATTTCAAGACATTTCTGTGTACATTTGATAAAGATATGTGTTGAAATGAGATATATGTTATTTTCATTTTGACCTCCTTCAGACGACAATTTATTCATCGCACCCTATATATATTTCGGAGAGGGGGCACCTCGAGGTGGTGTAATTGGCTAGCAAGCTTGTCTCGCTGGAACAATTAAGATTGAGTAGTGAGTAGTGCCCCATACTTCTGGCCTTGTGCCTCATCTAAGCTACGCTTGAAAAATCCCTATGTTATTTCGGAGAGGTGAGAAATAAAACACGAGGAGGAGTGTTCAGAGACTTCATGGCACGCTTTACACTATTTCATCGTAATCGTTTTTTATAATCATTTCGCTCCAAGCAAGGCAATAAAACCACTGAGACGCAAAGGGTTATTGATTGTTAGTGTTGTTGCATACCTACGAACGATAATGGATATGGTCCATTCTCATAAATACAGTATTAGTGTATATTTAATGTGTGGTCGGTAATATTCAATTGGAGATTCATTATGGAATTCACTTGACTCACTTCTACCAGTTGACTACTTCTTCTACGCGCCGCTGGCAAATCTTATATGTGTTGTTCTTGTCCTAAGTATTATCGTTCATTACCAACCTTTGTTTGATTATTCTATTCAGTAACCTTCCCTAGGTTACAACAGATAGAGAGTAGGAGAAAAAGAAACTTACTATTAAGACTATAAAAGAATAAGAATTAAGAAGACGGAAGCTAACGATTGACATTACTTTAAAATTTTTGAAGATCAACGTTGATTGGGAAGCTAGAAGCCAGAGGAGAATTCTACAAGCGAGAATGCGATAGAAGAAACTGTTAGCATAGAACTTACGGTTACATGTAGCCATTTCAACTGTAACATGATGAAACCCTGCCGCAAATGTAGCACTAGGCTTAAATCCATTAAGTCTAGATACCATAGAGGAAAGTAATATTTATTTTGAATAATACAAAAATATGGTACAAAGCTAAAAGTGGAGATAGATGAAGGTCGGTCTGCAATCTGTGTTATCTTAAACTTAACTAGCCAAGATTACTGAGCCAAAGATAGAGCAGTATTCCTTATACCAAAACAACGCATTACCTACCATTCTTAGCCACCATAATACCTCAGAGTCTCTGTATAGTCCTAACTAATTCCCATATGTACAATTTATCGGGTCGGGGTGGGGAATAAAAAAATAACATCTAAAAATGAAACCCCCAATGTGGGAAGTTCGTTAGAACAATTACCATGAACGTATTTATAAAGAAATCACAGGGAAGCTACATCACGGCCGTGGGAGTGTTGCTGTAGACGAGATGCAGGTCCAGGACTAATAATATTGCAGATTCTTTGAATTTTATCATGAATCTCTAAATATCTGTCTATATCTCTGAGATGAGGTATTATGATTACTTGCATTATTTAAATTAATCGGGCCGTTATCCTCATCTTCATTGCCATATTCCCAACATTTCGGCCGTTATACTCTCCGGCTTTAATGTCTATGTCTCTCTATATATCTGTCTATATCTCTGAGATGAGGTATTATGATTACTTGCATTATTTAAATTAATCGGACCGTCATCCTCATCTTCATTGCCATATTCCCAACATTTCGGCCGTTGTACGCTCCGGCCTTTATGTCTATGTCTCTCTATATATCTGTCTATATCTCTGAGATGAGGTATTATGATTACTTGCATTATTCAAATTAATCGGACCGTTATCCTCATCTTCATTGCCATATTCCCAACATTTCGGCCGTTGTACGCTTCGGCCTTTATGTCTATGACTCACTATATATCTGTCTATATCTCTGAGATGAGGTATTATGATTACTTGCATTATTAACATTATTCGGACTGTTATCCCCATCTTCACTGCCATATTCTGAAGGAAACACGGCCCAGTGGATAAAGGCAT